ATGGTAAATAAGGGAATAATCGAGGCAGTAGATGAACCTGCAGAATGGTGTGCTCCAATGGTTTTGGTTCCGAAGAAATCAGGCGAAATAAGAATTTGCGTCAATCTATCTAAATTGAATGAGAACATTGAGAGAGAATACTTTCCAATGGTGTCGGTCGACTATACACTCAGCCAATTTCATAACGCAAAAATCTTTAGTATTATTGATGCTAATGCAGGGTTTTGGCAGATTGCATTGGATTCTGAATCATCTTACTTGACGACATTTATAACACCCTTTGGGAGGTTTTAGATTTAAACGGTTGCCGTTTGGAATTAAGTCGACGCCTGAAATATTTCAGAAACGAATACGTGAAACAATACAAGAGGGCCCTGGAATTGTAGGACTAATGGATGAATTCGTGATATTTGGGGCCACAGAAGAAGAACATGATAAACGTCTGCATGATGTTCTTCGTACACTTCAAAGTGCAGGATGGACTTTAAATGCTGAAAAATGTCAGTTCAGAACGAAAGAAGTCAAGTTTGTCGGACANAACAATAAAATTAGCTAAGTTTTGTATACCTCTGAAAGAGAAATTTTCACAAATTTTGCTTAACAAATTATAAAGTTTCAATGTAAAAGTTATTGAACGATTTTGAATAAAGAATATTCTCCATAGATTACTCTCATCAGAAAAAATATTTAATGCTTTAGTTAGGATTGACAGTTCCTTCTGTCAATAGATATTTTCTGCTTTTGAATGTCAGTTCAAAATCTATGTGTTAGAACACTTTTTAAATTTACATAAATTTTATGTATTTAGTACCATAATAGATTACTCTCATCAGAAAAATATTTTTAATACTTTAGTTAGGATTGACAGTTCTTTCTGTCAATAGACATTTTCTGCTTTTGAATGTCAGTTCAAAATCTATNCACAGAGCTGAAAAGATTTTTGGGCATGAGTGGATTCCTAAACAAATTCATACCAAGGATGGCTGATGTTGCAAACTCTCTGTACGAACTGTTAAAGAGCAACGTAGAATGGTTATGGGGGCCAGCATAGAAAACATCGTTCCAAGAGATTAAAAATCAGCTATGTCAAACTTCGGACCACAAAGAGCTGATACCAATTTTCATGTCGAAGGCTTTGGACAGTCTAACTCCAAGACTACAACGGATGAAGCTACGAATGATGAGATACGATGATATCATCGTGTACAAACAGGGAAAGCAGCTTATAATTGCAGATGCATTTTCCTGTAGCCCCATACCCGAACAGAGAAATGAAGAATTGACCGAGGAGATTGAGGCTTACGTTCAAAATATTATCGACACCCTTCCTGCATCTGAAAAACGGTTATCGGAAATCGTGTATTTACAAGAGAGAGATCCAATTTGCAAAACGTTGATGAGATACTGCGAAGAAGGTTGGCCGAAGAAAAACGAAATACCCGAGAAAATACGACGATATTGGAAGCAGAAAAACTCAATTACTTTCCAAAATAAGATTCTGTTTAAAGATGCCATGATTATTCTTCCAGAAAAGCTTCTGGAGAAATATTGAACAGGTTACATGAAGGCCATCTTGGAATAACAAAGTGTCGAGCCCGAGCTCGAGAGTCTGTTTGGTGGCCAGGCTTATCGGAGAACATTGAGAAATTGATATCGAACTGCTCAAAATGCATCCAATACCAAGAATATCATAAAGAGCCTCTTATCCCAAGCGAATTTCCTGAGAGACCTTGGCGAATTGTAGGGGTAGATCTTCTAAAACTAAAAAGCCATTGGTATCTCATAATGGCTGACTACTTTTCAATATATTTTGAAGTTGCCAGATTGGAGGAATTGTCGTCGTCGTCAGTAATTAACCACATGAAATCAATTTTCGCAACACATGGAATTGCAGAGGTTGTACGAAGTGACAATGGCACCCAATTTTCCCAGGTTGTCGACTCGGAATACCGTAAATTTGCAGAAAAGTATAAATTTTCAAGTATAACTTCTAGTCCAAGATACCCTCAAAGCAATGGATTCATTGAATCAACGGTCAAAAATTTCAAAAGTCATTACTTGAAATCTGAGTCACAGGATCATTATTTGATGCTTCTAGCAATGAGATCTACACCATTAGAGAATGGCTATAGTCCGGCAGAACTGCTAATGAGACGAAGATTGAGAACACCCCTGCCATCAAATAATTAACAATTGATACCTCGTTTGATTGATTTCGCTTCAGTAAGAAAGAAGGAAAAGGGGTAGGTAGATAAACAGAAAATCTATTTTGATCGACGCCACGGTGTAAAAACTTTTCCACGTTTTAAGATAAGACAGCCAGTCTGGGTGTCAGATATGCGAACATATGGAAAAGTGACGGAGGCTCACCATAGTCCACGACCTTACATTATCGAAACTCCGAGAGGAACGTTCCGCAGAAACAGAATACATTTACACCCATCGTCTATTCACCAGACAGTCTCCCAGGAAGACGAACCGCAGATCATCGATGAGGAGAAATCGACAGGATCATCCAACCAGAATACTCCCGAGGAAAAAACTCCCAGGTCAGAAAATGGAACAGGATCCGGGAATAGGGAACTTTATGAACCAACGCTAGAAATCAAACAAAACTCTCCACCGGATGAAGAGGACCTTCCTAAAACTTGTAGTGAAAGACCTATACGAATCATAAAACGGTATCTGGATTACCAGCAGTAAAAGAAAAGGGGGAGATGTAATATATGTTGATGATTTAAACAAACGAAATGTAATCGAGTAGGTGCCGAGGTGGGGGACAGAAAGGGAGGAGAGTAGCTCGAAGGAATCAGCTGGATGTAGAAGGTTTAGTTGTATTAATAAAGAGTTATTCGTACCATATTATCTGGTCAGTTGATTCGTTTATAATACAAGGTTCGCCATTGAATTCGAATTATTTTTAATAAACATTCTAGTCTAAGCCCTTCAAAAATTATATATAGATAAATATATATATTTCCTAACATATATACTGTATATGGTATATTAGGAAGGCTCCTCCAAATGGTAGCAGAATAAGGGAGTCGCGAGTCACAAAAGTTTGGGAAACAAACGCCTTATTGAAACAAGACTAAAAAAACCCTTTTTTCCTATAACAATGAGTCCAAATGTGTATTTCTAATGTTTTATGAAGTGGAATTGATGGCGATCTTTTTCTTGTTCCAAAAACCACGAATGGAATCAGCCACGCTCAGGATTACCGGTAACAGAATCATAGCGTTAAAAAGGGCAAAAATCATAACCAAGAAGATTACCTTGGAAAATACGACGAACGTATAAGAAGGTCCAAATACGAAAACTACTACACACAGTATTGTCGACAGACATCCCTGCACTATGGGGTATCCCACTGCGTACAGCGAAAGTCTAATCTTTTTTTCGGGAGATTCGTCTGGACAACAATTGTAAGCGTATGCCACGTGAGACGAAAAGTCGATGCAAATTCCCGCACTCATCGTTAAAAGCGTGACCGATATCATGTCCAAGTTAACTTTCCAAGGAATCATGAATCCTACGGATTCCACCATGATGCACACCAAATTCAACATGACACAAAGAGCGTAAGAAATATTCTGTATCAACGCTAGGAATATCAGACACACCACGCCCATGGCAATTCCTATGTTTTGCAGAAAGAGGGTGGGCATATTCAAGTGTTGTTCGTAAATTACGAAGCAAGCATTGTATGCAAATACTCGATACTTGCTATGATCTGCGGTCGCACGCAAATTTTCCAGCATAATTTTTTCGTCGTTTCCACTTCTGACTCCTTTTGACGTCACAAAACATCTGGAAGCAACGATTTGGTTTCGCTCGCTGTTCCACGCAATGTCTTTCCGGAAATAAGAGAATGGTTTAAGTCTCAAAAATACTAGTTTCAGTCCTTCTACGAATCCTCGAGAATCGCTGGTGTTAAAATCTTTTATCAAGTAGTTTATTTTCTTATCGCGAATGAAGGAAAGATATTTTCTTATCCAACACATTGTGAGTTTTCTTCCACTAATGTAAGGAGAGCTCTCGAACGTTTGTAGAATGTTCTCTACTTCTTCTTGTACGTTAGAATTAGAATAATCAAGAGACTGATTAAAAACGACTTGTATCGAGTGAGGATAGTCTGTGAAATATCGGTAATGTACTTTAAAGAACTTCGTGATGTAAGAGGAAGACGGTAACGCGTCCAGTACTTCTATTCCTTCTTTCATGTGTTTCATATTGTAAATGCTTCCGGCAACACCACACGCAAATATTATCACTACCAAAATTTTTATTACTTTCTTACCGAGAAGTGTTCCCAACCGTTCGGAGAGGAATTTCATGGCACCATCACTATTATTCGATCGTGCCCTGTCTGTTTCGGTTTCAGATTGTTCATTTTCTGAAAAGAAAACAAAGTAATACGAATAATTATTGAAATGATTCGAGTAATTTATCATAGAAAACATTTCTCATAAATAAGTTGCGAGTTTCCTCCTATGTATTACTATTTACAGTCAAGTTTTATTTTCGCTTTGATACACCATAGCATTTTAGAAGTTAGTACGATGTTGGCCTCGCTGTTTCACTCAAAATGGTCGTTAGACGAGGTCACCGCCTCTAGGTCTAATTTGTTATGGAGATGTCACTTTAAGTTTTGATTTGGTATTTTAGCTTTTCTCGGGCGTGTTTGTTTTCATAGGGAATGTAATCTCACGCTGTACTGCATTAGCAATAAAACGTATAAATAAATATTTCGAAAAGTAGGCGACGTGTCACTGACATTGAAACCTTGATTGTTTGTGGTAGATTTAAGATGGCAGTTTGACGGAATCTATTCGATTTTTATTTTTTGAACACAATCACGCACTAGTGTGAATGCAAAGAAGATATTTACTTACCGTCATCTTTTCGTTTGACAGGATAACAGAGAAGGCCATTAAGACGATGTTTTTCTCTGTAACCGTCGAGTGCCAAAAGAGCTCCGAAGAAGAAGATTTGGTAGATGAAGTCCATCAAGATAGACAGAGAGCTGTAAATGCAGGCGATACGAACAACTCTGTAAGACGATGCGATTCCTATACAGAAGCAAGACAAGTTGGTCAAAGAAGTGATGGTGATGGACACTCCCGCTTCCGAAAAAGTTTGGCTCGTTCGCTCTTTCACGCTGTCTTCTTCGTTTGTTCGTCTCCAAGCGGCCAACAGGACGAAGGAATCGTCTAAGCCGATGCCTATAAAAATCAGTAAGTGTGAATTTCTAAAATAATTTTAACGACAGAAACAATGTCAATATACATAAAGTTCAAATGTTGTATAGGTTTCTCAGGAAACTTGTTTTTCACAAGACAAACGGTGTTTACGCAATTGACATTTATAACCGATAAAATGTTTTAATTGTTGCGTTTCGTATTATTTACTTAAACTTTTAAAATAAAAACGGAATTGATAGTGTCTTGATTTTTTTCAAAGTTCGAAAAAGAATGGTATTGATGACATTCAACAAACAGTCCCGGCAGGGAAGAAATAACCAATTCATCAATATGCTGAAAACGTTTTAATAAATTATCTCAGCAGTTTAAGATGTATTTGAAGTGGGTATTGAAGACACCGAGAATACTTAAGATTTTCATAGGCTTTTTGGAAAATTAAAATTAAATTTTAATAGTAAATAACGATATTCATTTATTTATTATTTATAAGACAAGAGGCAGAGAACAGTGAAATAAAATAACATTGCTAAAACTCCGGTTGTTTACGACTATTCTATAAAAGTATAAAATTATATAATATTTATATTATTATTGACGATTTGTGAAATTCCATACACGAGATGTGTAATTTTATAACAATGTTTAGTGTAACAGGTGTCATAATACTGTAAAATAGAATTTAGGGTATATAGATTAAAATCACAATCGAAAAGGGGGGGAGAATATCCCGAATTGCACCGGATGAGATGTAAAAGAGTTTAGCCCAACGAAAGATATTGCAAGTTTACACGTCTGAATATTACTCTACATGGCAAAATATTAACGTTTTTGTTCCTGCGGCACTACAGGGTCTTTTAGTATGCCCGTTACGGGTTTGGCCCGGCTCACAATGAGTCCGGATATATTGGGCGATGAGAGACTGGCCCGGCACATCAGGACCAAAAATCTCTGGGGGGTCTTTTCTAGTCGTCCGGTTTCGATCCCGGGTCCTCCATAGCGATAGGCTGCCACTTTCCGGACGTTGTTATTCGCTGCTGCCAGATATTTTTACGTTTGTAGCATTGATTTAAGGGTGTATTGAAAATGTTCTATCGACGTATAAAACGTTACTCACCAGTCACGAGGAAAGCCACAACGATGTTAGTATCGAAGTAGTCTATTCCGCAGTGTAGTAGCAGACCAAAAGCCGCTGCGGTGGCCAAGGAGGGACTGCAGAGTCCGGCTATCCCCACCCACGGTTTACTGCCGATGGAGTCGAATGTCGCACAACTTACCATCGAAAAGAGAATCATTACGGCTACGGCAATAAAGAAGAGTTTCAGGCTCAATTCTGTGTTTCTGGAGGATTGGACGTCCATCCCGCGAAAAGTGAAGACGTCAACGTCGACGTGGTCAAAATCCACTCGGGTCAAGGCACGGCGGAATGCTTCGTCCCATTTTAAAGCCATCCGAATTTTTCTATCCGTTCCGTAATCCATGAAGTAAAGGAGGCGAACGGCTCTAAAATCGAGCACGAACCCGCTCCCGTTGATCGACACACCTCCTAAACCGAGGATGGGGGATGTGGCTCCGAAATTGCTTTCTTCTTTCGGATACCTTTAATAAGAAAATCGTAATCGTTAGTAGGGTTATTTCTACAGATTTACGTTATTCTTACGCCAATCTTATCTAAATATATAAAATTGCTTGTCCTGACTAGGGATTGTATACCGGTTTACCGATTTACCGGTTAACCGATAAATTTACAAAAAAACATTCGGTAAACTTACCGGTAAATTTTTAAAATTTANACTCCCCACAAAAATGCAAGAATTACAAAATTCTATTGATTGTTATATAAATTTTATTATGATTACATTATTATTACAAAATTTATAGCAATTTCTCGATGTCTAGTCACTTTCCATCCGCCATTTATATAATTTAGAAATTTCAAATATGAGCATCATTGTATATGAACTAGGGATTGTATACCGGTTTACCGATTTACCGGTTAACCGATAAATTGACAAAAAAACATTCGGTAAACTTACCGGTAAATTCGGTAAATGAAAAATTCATACTAAAAATTTTTATGTAGAAAATATTGTGTTTATAGATATTTAAAAGGGCTAAAGGAACATTGAAAAAAAAACAGATAAGTGTAAGCAAAAACATTCGGTAAACTTACCGGTAAATTTCAAAAATTTACCGGTAATTCTGTAAATGAAAAATTCATACTAAAAATTTTTATGTAGAAAATATTGCGTTTATAGATATTTAAAAGGGCTAAAGGAACATTGAAAAAAAAACAGATAAGTGTAAGCAACAACATACCTAATTATTAATTTTATGTGAGATATTTTTTGTTTAATTTTAATTTAAACTTTCTTGGGTATGAGAGGCACCGTAAATTGTACAGAAAGCTCTAGTTAGCATATGTGATTTGTGCTCTGCCGTTTTTTGAGATTTTTAAAGGTTTAAAATCTTTACAATCAACGTTTTTCTTAAAGAGTAAGTAAATATCTCTTTTTTTAATATTTAAAAATAATAATACGTAAATATTTCATGTATTTTTAAAATTAATAGCAATTTTGAATACACCACATTATGACAGGACATTAATGCAATACAGTAGTACCCCGAACTTACGCCATAGGTGGGAACGAGCGATAACCGCGTAAGTCGAATTCACGTAAGTCGGAGTATAATTTCGTATATAAATACATACAAATAATTTTTAATTGGGGCCGGAGACTAAAGAAAACAATAATTTAGAAAAAAATGTTTAATAAAATCTTAGATAATACATATGCATAACAAATTATATTATTATATAATTTTTCATCTTTACTCGATTATCACACCATAAATTTAACATTGTTTCCATCTCAGCACACTAAGAAGGAATTTTTAGAAATACTCCCGCGGGGGGTGAGGGAGAGCATTAAGTCTTAACCGGAAGAACGGCTTCTACTGTATTAATTTACATGCGATTTTTTGTTACGTTTAGTCTTCATTAAGTACTTAAGTGTATTAAATTAATAACATTTCAGACATTGTTATAAATATTTTTATCTATTTCGATTTTAAATTCGAATTTGTTATTACATATTGGTTCGATTATAGAACGATTGTAAACGTTCCAGAAAATTGATCAAATTGAAAATAGTTCGTTTGATTCTTAGCAATTTTCGTCATTCTCGGTGGTAGGTGTTATATAACAATTACTATGGTTGTTGAAATACTGAATATAAATGGGGTTCGCTTGCAAAACCTCCGCGGGCGAAGTCGCGGGTAACAGCTAGTGTTATATATAAGAATTAATTTCGATTCATGCCGCTATAAGCTGGCCGGTGGCAGGATACTCACGGCACCCGACCCACAATTTTTAATTAAAGGTATTTGCACCCACCAACGTCATCTTTGGAAACAGAGTATTGCCCATTGTCTGACCATCCCTGGTCACGCACGTGCTTCTTGCCCGAACAGCCAGAAAACGAAAATAACGTGATTCGAAATAAGAAAATGCAGTTTCATCACTTTACATTCTACTGCTGGTTGTTCCTGTTGATAATTTTCATCGTGCGTTTAAATATACTGCGTAAGATGACGAGAAGATTGTTGAAATTGCTTGGCTAACAATTTCTATTCAAATTATTTCTTAAAATGACGTATTAAATGCATATACTTGACTAATAAATGCACATATTTAACGAGTACATTCAGTAGTCTCGTGGGACCGGCAATTGTTACCCAGCCGATTTTTTAAACGAAAAGATAATTTCAATATTACAACAGATCTTTAATATAGGTACTATAATTCTATTTCTTACATTTCTTACAGAATATAGATGTTTGCTATTTCATTGTATACAATCCGTTACAAAAATATTGAGCCGCTGATACCTGTATCTGTAACTCAGTTTACTCTCCCGCCTTTTGTATATAACAGAGAGTACAAAAGTACTAGTACAGTAGAGCCTCGGTTATCCGACTCAATTGGGGACTGGGGTTGGTCGGATAATTGAAAAGTCGGATAACCGAAAAGTATGAAAAAATACATTATTAGTGTAGTATATTATTATATCCCATGTAATTAGTATATTAGTATATCGCTATTAACCTACTTCGCGTTGAATTTTCATCGATGTTAAGCCTAACAAAAATTTTTTAAAATAATAATCGTCGCTATTGTATCGTTAAAAATTAGAAAATTAAGCCTCGTTTAAATACTGGCTCCCTTTCATGGTCGAATGAGTGTTGCCAGCTAAACCACGTAAAAATAATATTAAAGTAGCCAAGACATAGTCAAATATTTTAGCGCCACATCACTAGCGGACATTTGAAATTTGCCGACTAGGACGGTCGGTTAACCGATGTGATGGTAAATCGGGGGTCGGATAATCGAGGCTCTACTGTATATCGATCGACTAGGAAATGACACGCCGAAATGTTTACATTTTTGGACTCGGGGTGCTTTAAAAAGTCGCGAAATGCAAAATTAGAGGTTTTTCCTCGTATGTACGGTATGTGTGTGTATGGGGAGGAATAATTTTGTTTATCCATTTTGCGGCTTTAATAACTCATGTAAGTTTTGTCGAAAATTTCTAAAATTCTGCAGCGAAATTGATGCTATTAAATTTTGGTAGTTAAAAGTCGAGGGGGTCGTGTAGCCTATCTCCTGTGGGATCGGGCTTGATGAAAATTTTACTTGGTATTAGCATTTATAACCTGTTACAAAACTCATTTCCCCTCTCAAATTAAACTTTTTGTTATTTTATAATAAGTGTTGAAAGGGTCGAGGTCATCCCGTGGTCTGCCAATCGCCCCATCAGACTGAGAATAAGGAAACAGAAACCACGGTATTTAATTTAACCTATTTCGGTTAAAATAAATTAAATTAAATTTCTTGTTTTTCATTAGAAGTAACTTCTACTGCTTATTTTCCAGAAGAAAATAAGTGATAAAAAAGTTTAATAGATTTACGTTTAAATTATTAGGACTCGCTCATACATACGAGGCCTTGCACAAATTAAAAAATATATTGCTTTTAATAATAAACTTATTAACTATTAATTAAATATTTATTTTACCAACAAATATTGTATTTATAAATCTGTAAAAGATTAATCTAATTTCAGAAAAAAGTTTTAATTTTATAAACAGAAGTATGAGGCTCAATTTCTTTCGTAAGAAACTGTAAATAAGTATAAATTACAAAGGTGTATTTACTTAAGAGAAAAATAAACATACCTGAGAGTAAGCTTTTCAGGATTTTTCATTTTGTTTTTCACCAAAGAAATGAAATTTTCTTGGCATTGGTTACGATCGTTCTTCAGGCAGACGTGACGATAACTGAAGAACTTGTTTTTCCAAAAGAAACTGACGTTTCGAACGATGGCGTCAATTCGAACTAATTCATCTATGGACGCCTGGTTCATCATCGAACCGTTGTTTTTGGCCGAAACAATGACAGTGGCTATATGTTTGTAACTGCTGCTTCTGAGTAAACCGTCTTTGTTCGTGTCCTTTCTAGAGAACAAGAGTTCCACGGATTCCTTCTCTCTTTTGGCTCTTCCGTCGATTGAACTATAGACGTACTCGACGTCTCTGGTTATGGACAAATTGAGAAATCCACTTCCCAAAATTAAGGAGACGAATAAGACGGCCGCAACGCACAGTTGAGGATGTCCACCGACGAAATAACCGATTCGAGAAAAGTGGAACGACAAAAAACCGTCCACCAGAGATTTCTTCATTCTTTTTCTAAAGAAAACAACAGCCGCAATTAGTTTAATACTTATCCTGGTCGTTTCTGTTGTTGTTATACAGATATTTCTAATCTAGCACTAAGTTCACCCGAAATATTTAGCATAACAATAGAATATATAATTTCTTTGAGTAATTATCAATATATAGAATATATAATTTCTTTGAGTAATTATCATATAGTGTTTTTTAATTAATACAAAGTTGATGCAATTGATTTGTAATATCTTCCTCAATAAACAATAGAACAATTTACGAACGCATAGAGAAAAAAAAGCATTTTAAACTATAGCAAAGAAAAAGCTATAAAGTAGAAAAAAGTTTAAAAAAATACTTTAAACATTATAACTATAAATATATTATTAAAAAAACAATGCCGTATTAGAAATTGCTAAACGAGGCTTACGTAACCAACTAAGTCCAGTTACGTAGCCCGGAATTAATAAGACACGGCACCTAACAACTGCCTGTAGTGTATTAAGTTGTATTTATTTGCTTCTTTATTTTCTTTATTTATTCGCAATTTAACTGGAATTATTGT